TTATTGCCATCTAATTCCAGTTTTTTTCTTCATTCTTGTTTATTTTTTTTGTTCCATAAATTCTCGTCTTTATTTTTCTTGTTTCCGTTTATTTGCATTCTTAGTTTCGTGCCGCTCGTCCTTACTTTTCTAGTTCACTTTTTCATTCTTGCCCTTTTTTGTTCTTCTTGTTCTGGTTCAACCAACAATCAAATCATCATTTATTTTCACACCAAATGAAAGTCTTCACAACAAATCTACAGCCACATTTCGTAAACGCCGTTGCTGAGGCGAATTTTCGAATCATTTTGCTCTCATCTTCAGACGAAAGGAAGGGTATGCCGAATCCAATCGTTTACATGCTTCCCTTAAAAGCATTTTATTGTCATCGAATTCCAGTTTTTTTCTTCATTCTTGTTATTTTTTGTTCTTGTCCCTTTAATTCTCGTCTTCATTTTTTTGTTTTAGTTTTTTTGCATTCTTTCTTTCGTGCCGCTCGTTCTTCTTGTTCCAGTTCACTTTTTCATTCTTGCCCTTATTTGTTCACGTACTTGTTCTTTTTTTTTCATTCTTGTCCTTGTGTCTCTCGTACTTCTTTTCGGCAATTTTGTCACAATCTCCATGCGCTCGCACAACGTGCACATTTCAGTGTACTCTTGCGTGCCCGTGTTGCATGCGTCGCCCTTCTGCATTATTCTAGCCCCAGGCCTAGCGCGTTGTCATCAGCGTTGAAGCGCATCGTTTCCGCCAACTGGTCTACCTTCAAAGGTCATCATCGAGAACCACTGGCGGCAATGAATTGACGTGACGACACGGAGGAACAAGCATATCCCAGTCTGGTGCATGTCTGCTGCCATTTTGTTGACGCGATCGCGCAGTTCACCTCAGACTGCTCTACCTCCACACCCTTCCGCACCCTTCCACACACACATACAGGGACACTTTTACGCACAAGCATAGGAACACCACTGCTTTTGTCTTGCAGGCTGCTTTTGATCCACTTTGCCTCGAGGTGCATGCCTACTTGGAGTACCTTTTCTGGCTCTCTCTTGCCGCCGCTCTTCCTTCCAATCGTCTATCTTTATCCGGTCCACTTTGGCCAATCTGTATGCACAACTGATCGATTGTCCGCTTGTCGATTTATGCCGTCGCCCGCTTGTGCGATCGACCTGTCAGCAAATAAATTGTCTTTGTGTCTCTTCTTCTCCTCGCTTGTCCATTATCCACTCATCTTTGTTTGCTCTCCGCCGTGCGCACGTGTGTGTCGCTGTACATGTGCTCAAATGTCCACCTCTCTGCACCCTTGTGTCCCCACGGCTCTATGCGTCCTGTCTTCCCCATCCGGTTGCCCACTTCTCCATCTCTTCCTATGTCTCCTGGCTTGTGCATGTTTGCGTCAATCTCTGTAAGTGTGCTTTCTTCTGCCCACACTCGGCCCCGTCGAGGGCCCCTGCTCACTCGAGAAGTCCTCTCGCTGCGCCCATCTTTCGTCATTTCCGCTCCTCTTCCCGTCTCGATCGCCATTTTGGCGTCGTTTTCTCTCCTCTTCGGCCGTCCCCCGTTGCCACAGCAACAATCCACTCAGCCGAGTCCACCTCGAGGCCACCTCATGGTCGGCATCGTCAGCTTCGGCTGCATTCCGATTTGACACCACCGCATGTCGGCCGAGCTTATCTCGGCCTGACGAAGTGTTGCCGTGGCAACTGGCAGCAGTGACGATGCGTCATCGGTCATTCGGTCTTCGCCCCATTCCCAAGGAGGATGTTGTGTGTCTGGCGGTCGTGAGGGCAGCATTGCACGAATAACGCAGCGACGACATCGATGCATGCATGCGCAACTTAGCTCGTTCCAAAATGACAGACAGCGATCATCTATCCACTTCTTGTGGCCCTATTCTGTCCAATTATTCGGCACCATCTGATCGTCGGTAGCTATGCGAGCTGAGCTGTTGCGGCTTCTGTTTTATTTGGCAGTCGTCTTTCCCGATCGACACCTCGTTTCAGCCTATTCGTACCAACGTTGCTCCTCTCCGAGTCGCTATGACATGCGTAGTCATGGCAATTTCCAATCTCGAACCGTCCACTTGACACATTGTCAGTGAAGCTTGCTTCTTTTGGTGCTTTTTGGTTGGTGCTAAAGCTGGCCGGAAGCAATGGCGAGGGCCAATCAAACTTGGCTGGGTGTGCACCGGCGTCACGTTGTGACGCCAGAGTCTGTCATGTCCCAACATGCCTCCGTATACTTTGCCATGACAACACGATGAGCTGTCGAATAGGCGGTGAAAGCAGAGCTTATAGGTTGATTGACAGTTCTCTCACCCGTCCCAGGAAAGACCATTTCTTCAGTGTATGCTACGAAGAGAATGCAGGTTGCCAAGTGTCTCCTAAATTTCACCCGAAAGGAAGTACAAGAGCAAGAGATTCGGTGGGTCAATCTCACCAGAAGGCGACGGATAATTGGCGGTTTGCAAGAATGAGTCCCAGCTCTGAGCATGCTCGTCTTCACCGGAATCCACGAATGATTTCTCGTGAACTGCGTCCACTTGAAGTTCGTGTTAAAGCCGAACAATGCCATGACGATGCGACTTTGCCACCTTCAAATGCGATCAACCAGCAATCG